GGGAGGCGGAGCTTGCAGTGAGCCGAGATGGCGCCACTGCACTCCAGCCTGGGCGACAGAGCGAGACTCCCTCTCAAAAAAAAAAAAAAAAAAAAGCAACCAGAAAGCAACCAGGGAAGGAGAGCAGGCAGAGGAGGAGTTGCACGGTGCACGCGCGGTATATGTGGCTGGGGAATTCGTGTGAACGTCAGGGTGGAAGCAGGTGTGAGAGGGTCCAGCAGAAGACAACACAGCTGCCAAAATGTTTGAGTCCATCGACAAGTTTGGCCTGGCCTTAGCTGTTGAAGGAGGCGTGGTGAACTCTGCCTTATATATAACGTGGATGCTGGGCACAGAGCTGTCCTCTTTGACCGATTCCGTGGAGTACAGGCCATTGAGGTAGGGAAAGGGACTCACTTTCTCACCCCGTGGTTACAGAAACCAGTGATCTTTGACTGCCGTTCTCAACCACGTAATGTGCCAGTCATCACTGGTAGCAAAGATTTACAGAATGTCAACATCACACTGCGCATCACCTTCCGGCCCGTGGCTAGCCAGCTTTCCTCCCATCCTCACCCGCATCGGAGAGGACCATGATGAGCGTGTGCTGCCGTCCATCACGACCGAGATCCTCAAGTCAGTGGTGGCTCGCTTTGAAGGTGGAGAACTAATTACCCACAGAGAGTTGATCTCCAGGCAGCTGAGTGATGACCGTACGGAGCGAGCAGCCTCCTTTGGGCTCATTCTGGACGACGCGTCCTTGACACATCTGACCCTCGGGAAGGAATTCATAGGTGGAAGCCAAACAGTGGCTCAGCAGGAAGCAGAGAGGGCCAGATTTGTGGTGGAAAAGGCTGAGCAGCAGAAAAAGGCGGCCATCACCTCTGCTGAGGGCGACTCCAAGGCCGTTGAGCGGATCACCAACTCACTGGCCACCGCAGGGGACGCCCTGATCGAGCTGTGCAAGCTGGAAACTGCGGAGGACATCGCCTACCAGTTTTTACACTCTCGGAACATCATCTACCTGCCGGCAGGGCGGTCTGTCCCCTGCAGCTGCCCCAATGAAGGCCCACCCTGTCTGCACTCCGTGGGCCAACTGGGCCACAGCCCGGATGATTCGATGATTTTTTTTTTTTTTTTTTTTGAGATGGAGTCTCACTCTGTCCCCCAGGCTGGAGTGCAGTGGTGCTCACTGCAACCTCCACCTTCCGGGTTCAAGAGATTCTCCTGCCTCAGCCTCCTGAGTAGCTGGGACTACAGGCCCGCACCACCACACCCGGCTAATTTTTTGTATTTTTAGTACAGAGGGGGTTTCACCATCTTGGCCAGGCTGATCTTGAACTCCTCACCTCATGGTCCACCTGCCTTGGCCTCCCAAAGTGCTGGGATTACAGGCATGAGCCACCGTGCTCTGCCATCCCGATGATTCTTAACACCGCCTTCCTTCTGCCTCTATCTCAGAAATCACTGTGAAATTTCATAATTGGCTTAAAGTGAAGGAAATAAAGGCAAAATCACTTCAGATCTCTAATTAGTCTAAAACAAAAAAGGCAGCCGGAGGAAAAAAGATAGATCATCCTAAAAGGAACAACAACTGAAATGATAGCTTACTTCTCAGTAGAAGCAATGGAAGCCAGCAGACAATAACATGGCATTTTCAATACACTGAAGGAAAATAGCTGCCATAGTGACTTAGCAAACATCTACAAATATTGAAAATACTCTTTAGGAATGAAGGAGAAATAAATATTTTTTCAAGAAAAAATAGAGTGAGAATTCATCCCCAGCAAGCCCATACTACAAGTATTAAAAGGTGTTCAGGTAAAAGGAAAATGAGCCCATGCAGAAGGCCAGAAATAGAGGAAGAAACTCGAAGCAATAAAAATAATAATTATGCTAGGGTCTTCGTTCATTTGTGCTGCTGTAACAGAATATCTCAGACTGGGTAATTTATTATAAAGAACAGAAATTTATTTCCTCATAATTCTGGTGGCTGAGAAGTTCAGGATCAAGGGGCTGAGAGCCTTCATGCTGCGCCCTCACATGGCAGAAGATGGAAGGGCAAGAGAGAGTGAACCTACTCCCACCGACCCGTGAATCCATTCACCTACCTCTTCCCCAAAAGCCCCACTTTCCAAGACTGTTGAATTGAGGATTGAGTTTTCAACACAAATTATCAGGGACACATTAGAGCATAGCAACTAGTAACTCTAAATAATTTTTTAACTGTATAAAACAAAAATAATGTATTGTGCAGTTTAAAATACTTATAGATATAAGACCACAACAGTATATAATTTGGGAGGGAGGTGTATGGAGTTACAGGGCTTAAAAGCCTCCTACTGGAAAAGGGTAAAAATACCAGTTGACATTAGACTTTGTCAAGTCTAATGCTTGCTAAAATTCTGCATGCTATAGTCTCTAAGGCAACCACCAAAGGAAGAGTAAAAGCTGTATAATGTCCTAGCAAATAGAGATTAAAAGTAGAATTGTTAAAAATATCAGTTATCGGCTGGGCATAGTGATTCACATCCATAATCCCAGCACTTTGGGAGGCCGAGGTGGGCCGATCACTTGAGGCCAGGAGTTCGAGAGCAGCCTGGCCAACATGGTGAAATCCCATCTCTACTAAAAATACAAAAATTAGCTAGGTGTGATAGCAGGTGCCTGTAGTCCTAGCTACTTGGGCGGCTGAGGCAGGAGAATCACCTGATCACACCACCACACTCCAGCCTGGCCAGCAAAGCGAGACTCTGCCAAAAAATGAAAAAATAAAGGAAAGAAAAGAAAAAAGATCAATATAAAAGAGACAAGAATGGAGAAGACAAAGGAGCATAGAACAGGCAGAACAAGAATACATCACATAATAATTTGGTAGCTGTAAAACCAAATATGTCAATAATTATAGCAAATGTAAAGCAACTAAATGCTACCATTAAAACACAAAGAATGACAGGCTAGTTTAAAAAAAATAAACCCCATGGAAAGAAAGTTTAGATGTCATCTCCTCCAAGTTATCTGTAAAACAAAACTATCTACAGCCCATCAGATTTGGTTTGAATTTATAAACCATAGCAATCTCACTTATCACTATATCCTAATTCAGATAATTTTGTTTAGATGGGGTCTCACTATGTTGCCCAAGCTAGACTCAAATTCCTGGGCTCAATCAATACCACCTCAGCCTCCCAAGAAGCTGTCACTGCACCTGGCTTCGGGTAATTCTTTTCTTTTTTCTTTTTTCAGGTAATTATTTTCTTTTCCTTTGTCTTCAAATGTTAAAGAATCCCTTCATTACTGAGCCAAAAAAAATTATCTTAGACATACTTTATTGAGACATAGACAATGTCTCTCTCATTTCATATGATAGTCCATCAGATACAGGAATATGGATACCAATTTTTCTATTTATATATCCCTAGTTAAAAAAAATTTTTTTACATAATCTTCACCATATTTTTATATCATTTATGAAAACAGCTCCTTGTACAGTTGGCCCATTGATCCAGCTTGTTAAATTATTTTCAGACTTTGCTTAAGTGAACCATCATATTGTCACTTTCTTCCATTTCAAATCATAGGGAAATGATACAAAGAGCATGCTTTCTATATTTTCATCTTATTCATTGATAAAAACATTGAATAGAACATATCTGATGACCGTGCTTCAGAGCAGGCTTTGGAGAACTTTTTCTAAATTGACCTTGATCCATGAATCAATATTCTGAAGGCATGCAGTTTTAAACATAAATAAATTTGCCTGTGTAGCCAGTTCACATTCCTCCAACTTGTCCATGAGAGGCCTTGAGAAGTCTTGAGTTGGCGTAAGAGTCCTTGTTAGATGCCTTGCTTAAATTCAAATACCTGGCTGTGCACGGTAGCTCATGCCTGTAACCCCAGCACTTTGGGAAGCCCAGATGGGTCTCTCAAAAATAAATAAATAAATAAATAAATAAATAAATAAATAAATGCAAATACCTTAGGTCTGCTTATCAAACTAGGTGTGACAATCTCAGAAGTGAGTGCATATCTCATTTCCATTTGTTTATGGGGACAGAGAGTCAACTATAAATAATATGCAAGTCTGCAGACTTAGGTTAGAAAAGGTATGATAATCCAGTACGTCATCCATCTGCGGGCACTGAAGCTGCTAACATCAC